CAGCAAATACCTTTTTAAAAAAACATAAAACTAAACTAAACACATGGGTCTCACTAAATACCCAAGAATTAAATCTCTATCTGTGCAAAGAAACGGTTAAAAAGCTCATCTTTATTAGACAAAACAAGGTCAGGGACCAATTGTGCAATATACCGTCAATTACTCACATGTATGTTCAAGATGACCTGACCTGAAAAAGTAAAAGTCCACAAAAGCAAAAATATGACCTTAACTATATTCCATTTGTATTTAGACACCATTTCAGGAGTAGATCTGATGTAATGAACACGGATAACCCAAGACCAGAGGAGCTGTGGAATAACATCAAGGAAATCACAATTAAGAAAGTAAAAGGTCACTAATAAGATAGAAAGAAATGGCCAAAATCTGTCAGAAGAAACTATATAGCTTACTCTTTAATGGAAAGAAGCGAAATTAAATGGGAGGAGAGAGGAAATAAGGAAGATTTCAAAGGGTAACTTAAAAAGACAAAACACAGTATTACAATGACATGTAGGAAGACACAGATTTAGAAAATCAAAAGCAAGAGTACACTTGGCATTCTCAGGCTGAAAGAACTGAAGTACAAATTCAAGTCTCAAGTTGCAAGACTGAAAGACGCTAGACAAAATACTGAAAGATGCAGAAAGCATCAAAAGAAGACGTAAAGAATATGAGGAATCTCTGTTCTAAAGACTTGGTTGATGCTCACACATTTCAGTAGGTATGGCACAGAAGGACACAGCCCAAGCTGTACCGAAGGTATGAGCAAACAGAAATTGACACACTGCAAACGGAAATGTTTCAACAGATGCAGGGAGCACTGGATATATTCACTTGTTTATGTGAAGAAATCTATCTAGAAGAAAGGTATGTGGCTAACTAACTGAAAGAGATCTGTGTTTGTGTCTAATTCAAAGACAGAGGTTCCAAAACAATGTGGAAATTACTGAATATCATTAATATCACAAACAAGTAGCAATTCGTGGGTGAGGAATTGTCAGAAATGCAAGCTGGATTCAGAAGAGGACATGGAAAGAGGGCTATCACTGCTAATGTCAGACGGATCTTCACTGAAAGCAAAAACTACTATAAACATGTTTACCTGTGTTTTATTGACAATCCAGAGGCATTTAACTATGTGGATCAGATCAAGAAAAGAAGAACAGAACTCTAGAAAAGTTCTGCTCATATGGAATTGGTACGCAGACCACGAGACAATTGTTGGAGAAAAACGAGGGGATACTGCAAGGTTTAAAATCAGGAAAGGTGTGTTTCAGGGTTGTGACCTTTCAGTATCTCTCACTGTTCAAGTTGGCACCAACTCACAGCTGACCCTCTAGTGAATTTTCAGCAGCTATGAATCACATGGAAATAGACTGCTCATTTTTCTTCTGTAGAGGAAGCAAAGGGTTCAAACTGCCTCTTAGTTGGCAGTGCAACCCAAAGCCCATGAGAGCTCCCTGTTTGGAGAGTTAATCAATTTGTCCTGAGTAACTAATCTGAAAATCTGGACTTTATGAAGAATATGGCATCAGGACTAAAGGAACACTCATTAACAACCTGTAATGTGCATATGAAATATGTACATCTGAAAAGCATAATATTTTCAGTGTTTATTGTATAGGGAAAGGGAAAAAGAATAAACAAAAATGTACTGAAATACTCTTATATAATTAATTAAAATACTTTTTATAGAGCCTCTTAGAAATACAGCCTGTGAATTCAGTGATTAGTGTATGAGCTGACACAATTAAAATGGAAGCCAAGAGAAGACTAGAGTCCCTGACTAAAGGGTCAGTGGCACTGAATGTGGGTGTGAGATGTGTTAATGTAAGGAAAAGTACAAATGATAGTTAGGAAGGAATGAGAAGTTACCACAGATAGAAGAAACCCAATCAGTCCTAACAGATATAACAGAAGAAAAAAATCAACACTCAAAAACATTCACTTTATACTTTCAAAAAAAATGCTGGAAATTCTGAATTGTATTTATTAGCAGTGCACAGCAGTGAGATGAAAACTGCAGAAATTATGAAAATTATGTCATACATAAAGAAATATATGAAGTTAAAATACATCTTGGAGAAGATAGTTTGAAAAAGAAAAAAAAAGCAAAACAAAACCAAAGCAGTATTATAAAGACAAACAATAAATGAAGAGCTAAGTGAGAGACATTCATAAACTAAGGATGCAAGTAATAAATAATTAAACTGCTAACAATATTTCACAAGGTACCATCTCACTCCAGTAACAGTGGCAAAATTTAACAAGGCCCAGTGACTGAATCAATCCATCTCATTGAGGGTCTTTCTCTCCTGCGCTGTCCCTCCAACCTGCCAAGCATGACGCTCCTCTCCAAGTACTGGTCCTGACTTGTAACATGTCCAAAGTATGTCAGACAAAACTTCAGAATTCTTGCCTCCAAGGAGCAGGACAAACCTGTTTGTTCTTTTAGCAGTCCATAATATAGTCAACACTCTTTGTCAGCACCACAGCTCAAAAACATCAATTCTCTTTCTATCATCCCTAGTCACTGTCTAGCTCTCTAGGCATAGTAAGCAACTTCAAAGACTATGGCCTGGATCAGGCGCACCTTAGTATCTAGACTGATGTCATTGCTCTTCAGTACTCTGGAGAGGTCTCTGACAGCCGACGTTCCCAAAGTAATTAAGCACTTGATTTCCTGGTTGCTGGTACCAAGATGGTTGATTATGGAGCCAAGCAAACGAAATTTGTTAACAATCTCAATCTCTTCATCAACCATAATACTGCTGCCAATTGGCCCACTGATGAGAATCTTTGTTTTCTTGATGCTGAGCGTCCAATCCATATTGAAAGCTGCAGTCCTTGATCTTCTGCAGCCAGGGCTTCAAGTCCTCTTCAGTTTCAGCAAGCAGGGCTACAGGACCAAAATCTTTAGCAGACACAGTGGAGAAGCAGAGATCTGATGGGAGATGGGACAGCTATTCCATTAGTACCGGAGTAAAGAGCCTTTGCCCAAGTTTGTTTAACAAATTGGGAGGTGTGGGAACATAATTCACAGGACTGAGAACTTAGCAACACTGGTCTAAAGCCACAGGCTCAAGACTGAGGTGAGGTGCCTGTGAGTACATTTTAGAAGCCATCCTGACTGTATTCTGCTACTAACCTGGACTACAACCTTTTGCCTTCCCCAATATGGTTCTGTGTGGTCTGTGAGCGACTGCATTGGATTATGGACCCAGTAATGCAGTAAAATTGGTGTTGAGATATGTATAAAGAGGAATGGGAACATGGAAGATATGGCTGACCTCATGAGAATTGGTTTTGTGTTACTGATTCTATTCACAGGGAGATTTCCCCTTTGTGAAGATGGTAACGGTCAGATATGGTTATACTCATGTGGCCCTTGCTCTTTTTATATATACTTATTGTGGTGTCAGAAAGATTAAAAAAATTGTCTTTACTGCCCTATTGGAGGCATGGTGTCTGGCTACCACCCTAAATGCAGACACATGGTCTTACAACTCATCAACAGCTGTTAATCCAATATAAGAGAGGACTTTCCACACTATGAAAGACAGAGAGGAAGAGATTGTGGTACTGCTATGAAAAAACTGTGGCAAAGTATAGCCAGGGGAATCCTGGAGATGGAACCACAGTTAAAGGTTTTGCTTGGTGGATTATTAAGTGAAAAGCTGACTTGTAAATGCTCTGTGATAAAGTTTGCTGGACGGTAGAGGCTTCTTCATTTGCAGTGCTGAACCTGAACCTGGACTTTCACTAACAGAGGAATTGTGCCTTGTTAATAGGGCTTAGGACTGATGGATTAAACCTGGATTTATATTGATATTCTTTGCCTCCTCCCACTCCCCAACCTATTACCCTAATAAATCCCACAACTGTATGTAAGTCTGTGAGTCAATTTGCAATGAATATTTGATTGGGAGAAATACATACAGAAGTATGTGGTGTGGAATGACTGATCATGTAGCTAATTGTACAGTGCTATGGATGTTAGAGTTGGAGAGAGTCCCACTTTATGAAGTGGGCAGAAATCAGACTTGGCCACCCTCACATTATAGCTGTTCCTTTTGCACTTATCATAATCTAAGTCACAGTTATAATCAATATACTTACTTTCCAAGTGCAAGGTACAACCTGCTGCATTCAGGTCACAATGAAAGCACTAAAAACTATCCCTTTGACATTTGTTTTTGTTTTTTTATATATCAGTGTTACATGTACTATATACAACGCTGCAATGTGCAATTTTTTTTTATTTTGTTATCTGTAAATTTATGTGTGATGTTTCCAGCCCTCAAAGACAAAGACTAGTTTTATAAATATATTAATAAAAGGTGGTAATAGTTTAAAAATAAAAATGTATGAGATTTACATCAGAATTGATATACCACAATCATTGGAATAGAATCCCACTGTAAATTAGGGCCTGCTGTATTCCGGTTACAAGGAATGCACTGTATGAGGATTCATTAATGGATTTTTCTTCCTTTTTTGGCTATTCATTTTTCTCTTCCTACATCACGACCAGACATTATAAAGATTTCACTCCTTTAGAAAGTACAGCCTGACTTAGTAACATACTCCAGGTTTTATTTTTAAGAAAAAAAAAATTATCTTTAGATTCTTTAGGTTTTAATCATTCCTTCTTTATACAGTTAAGAACTTTTACTTATTTCTTTTTCTCATACTTCTGAACATTTGTATATGAAGAGAAATATTTTTTAAATAACTGTGAAAGCATCTGAAGCATAAATCAGCCCCCTTCAAAAAAATTTAAAAATTAGTTTCTGAGAAAGCAGTCATTAAACACAGAATTTCCATAATTTGGCAATAAATAAATAAATGCAAAACAAGATTAAAGGAATAATGGAGGCAAAGACTAACTATTTTCTAGCTGTTCAATACCATGTTAAGATGGATCTCCCGAGAAATATTTAACACTCAAACTCTTCAACATGTTTAACCCAAATAACAAAATATATCCAACTTACCAAACTTCGATATTGACCCTGGAACAATTTTGAAGTCCGGCTGTGTAAAGACTGCGAGCCCAGAGAATCAAAAGACTTTATCCGATGAGATGAGGGCCGGGCACATACAGAATCACTTCCCAGGCCAATGTCTGAAAAGGTCGTGAACAAAGAGAAAAAGAAAAAGCTAAATATGCCTGATACATGCATCCTTACTAAACACTAGACTTAAAAATAGGACAGCCATAGACGGACACACCAAAGACCTCAACAAAGCAAGCCATTTATGCAGAAGACAAAGAGCAAATTCTCTGTCTACTATATAAATGACTTACATTCATTCCTCAATTACCTTTGCAGAAATTATCTGGAAATAATTAATAGTTCTTTTCTAATATAATTTTTTTTAATTTAGTCAGTTAATATATTCACAAAGTGTATTTTACTTGTGAAATGTTCTAACTACTTTTAATAGGTTCCCTTCATCTGGAAAAAAAAAATAATCTTTTCAAATTCAATTATTTAGCAGAAAACAACAAAGTATTCATTTCCAACACATCATTAGCAAATATTCAGCATTCTAATATTATGCTTCATTCAATAAACAAGAATTACTTTGCAACAAAAATTAAATATCCTCATTTAGAACCAACAAAATAGCCTTTTAAATTTTTTAATCAAGGGAAAATCTTTGGAAAATTATTTCCTCAAAGAAGGTAACAGAGGTGCTACTTGCCTCCACAATGTTAAAAGGATTAAAGTAAAATGATATTTCAAGGGACTCATTTTCTCTCTGAATTCCTCTCATGAGTAAGATGGTCCAATAAGACCAACCAATAAGCAAAAGTTGGCAAGTTATTTCTCATATTCCATTTTAAAGATATATGGCAATAAAATTTTTTTCTAGGGAAATTATTGTCTCAAGATACTTGTCCCAGCAATTTTATAATCTGAATCCTAAAAGCATTCTGTAAAACCCTTCTGCTTTTTGTTTGTTTTTGTAAAAGCATTCTTTTGAATTCAAATAAAGATCTCTAGGTCAGAGTTTCTAGTTCACATGTCTAAATGAATTCTTTGAATAGTTTCATGTCAAATTTAAAATTAGTTGTTAACATCTTTAAGTCTGAAAATTTCACAGGAATAAAAAACCCAAACAAATAGATTTTCAGCTTTTCTTTAAGACAAAGCAACACTTGGTCTAAATTACTTTATAACTCAACTCAGAGATGAGCAGACCCTACACATATAGAGAGAACATAACTATACATTCTCCTCAATAATTCTTATTCCTCTTTTATGTTGACCCCTGGGAACTCTGCTTTAAACAACCTTGCTACCAAGAGCCTTTTACTGCTATTGGGTGTTCTCTAAAAGGCTTCCTATATAAGATCCTGATTAGGTATGTAGTCTCCATCTCAGTATTTTGTACTTTATAATAACAGAGGCTGTAACTGTTAACAACATCAATCTCTTCTCTATTTACAATGGTGCTGCCAATTGTCCCAGTGGTGAGGATCTTCATCTTCTTGATGTTGAGTTTCAATTCATATTAAACACTACAGTCCTTGACCTTTTGCAGCAAGCTCTTCAAGTCCTCCTCAGTTTCAGCAAGCAAAATTGTGTTATCTGCATAATGGAGATTGTTAATGAGCCCTCCTCATAAAGCCCTGTTTCCAAAATGGTCTGTTCTGCATACAGATTGAAAAGGTATGGGGACAGGACACATCCTTGATACTCTGCTTTTCTATTTTTGAACCATATAGTGTTTCCTTGTTCTGTTCTAAAGACTGCTTCCTGGTCGGATTATAGGTTTCACATGAACACATGAGAAATTGTTGCAAATGCTGAAAATGTAATTGTTGTTAACAATTACAACTCAATTACAGCTTGCTCCCACCACAGCAACACTCTTGGCACCAGCAATCAATAAATCAAAAGATGAACTGCACTGGGAAAATCTACTGTCAGGGACCTCTCCAGAGTACTGAAAAGCAATGATGTCACTCTAGAGACTAAGATGTGCCTGATCCAGGCCATGATCTTCCCAATTACTTGCTATACAGAGAGCTGGACAATGACTAAGAATGACAGAGGAAGAATTGATACTTTTGAGTTGTGGTGCTGAAAAAAGAGTCTTGAACATATACCATGGATCATCAAGAAAACAAATAGGTCTGTCTTGGAGAGGTGAAAATCAAATTTCTTCTTGGAGGTTAGGATTTTGAAGCTCTGTCTCACAGACTTTTGGCATATGGCCTGGAGGGACCAGTCTTGGAGAAGCACATCATGCTTGAAAGGGTGGGGTCAGTATAGGAGAGGAGAAGATGACCCTGGATGAGATGGGTTGATACAGTGACTGGGGCAATGAGGGTAGGTGTGTCAGAGTCAGGGACAGGGCAGGTTTCAGAGCAGTTGTACACAGGGTGGCTATAAGCTGCAGGTGACTCGATAACACATAATAACAACAATAACGGACGAGGACAGAGGCTATGTGTTTTTTTAAATCGCCTTTTGCAATCCCAAGTACAGAACCAGCTGCAAAGTTATTAATTAAGATTCTGCCACAATGACTACATAACTCCACTATTCTCTACCCACCCTAAATTTCAAAAGAATTTTTCAAAGTACAATAAGAGGTACCTATCCTAAGGAAATCCTTTATCCACAATCACAAGTTTTTCTGTCACCCAATTAAAATGCAAACGTCTTAACACAAATGATTTTCAGGTGACAAAAGTTGAGGGAAAAGAAAGGCAGAATTTAATCATGAAGGTCTATAATAACTCATACAGGAAAAACTAATCATCTTGTTGTTACATCTGTCACTTGGTATTTTTTAACTTCAAAAAATATCTTTTCAAAATATGATGCTACATACTTCTAATATGTATACAGTGATATAAAAAATATGAATGAAATATCTCAGTCACAAAAGGAAAAACATTGCATAGGGCCACTGTTGTAAAATGGGACTGACATCAGGGTTGAGGGAAGACAGAAAAGGAGAGGAGGAATGATGTATATTGTATTGAAACAGATGAGGAAGAGATCCGTTTAAAAGGGCTCTATGAATGGATATTCTTGTCATTACGGAAGTCCAGAATGAAGGCTGCATAGTGGAGTGAACATGGGGGGAGGGACTGCATAACAATGAAAGAGTTTTTCTTTTTCTTTTCAAAAAGAATGATTTTGGGGGGAGGTGGAGGAAGGGAGAAAAGTGCAACAATGACTGCCTGGAAATGCTAAGTCTCTGTAAACTTTCATTAAAATTAATTAAAAAAATTTTTCATTGAAAAAATACATATGAAAAATAATGTTACATAAGATGAGGCAATGTAAGGGAACTCTGGTGGCCTAGTGACAAGAAGCTGCGCTGCATTCCCGAAGGTGAGTCATTCAAATCCACCAGATGCTCCGCTGGAGAAGAAGTGGCAATCTCCTCTTATGCCAGTCATATCCAACTTAAAAATACACGACAACAACAACAACACGATGAGGCTATGTGCCTAAGAGATATTTCATATTGGTTTATTTCTATCTCCACTATTTAATTTTAAATTATAGTACTTTAATATATTAATTATCCATCACATCACCTAGATTATTTCTTCATTCTTTACTACTCTTGTGTCCACTGTTTTTACCAATTAGCATCTCTAATCAAAACATAGGCAGAGAAAACATCTAAGGTGAAGATCCAAAGTGTTATGTTTTCCCTCAGAGCAATCTCCAGAAGTATGGAACAGTAACAGAAAGCCTAAACTGAAATGTAGAGATTTCGTTTTCTATACCAGTCTTGTTCCTCTATGCTAAATAAAGATCTATATTAATGATACCCCATTCAAAACTATTAACAGATGCATATTTAAGTTTATTTTAGATATACATATGCATGGCTATATAAGTATGCCATATTCTGTGCATGTATTATGTTTTGCATAATTTTTTAACTGGATTCCAATATGAACTACTTCAAATACTGCCATTTCTATATAACTGACATCTTTATATAACTGATTTTTCTTTTTATCTGTTTATTCACATTAAAGCTTTCAATTTCACAGCTTAAGTATAGAGAAGACAACCTCACAGTTTGATTATATTTACAAAATGCCACACTTGTTTGCAAATTATTAAATGATGGGATAATTTTTACTATTTATATCTTTGTCTTCCTTTACTTCATTTAATTATTCTCCGTTCTCTCCTTCTGGTTAAATCTTTTCTCAGATATGGTCTAATTTAATGGTATTTCTTAAATGTTTCACTTCATCAGGTTGGCAAAATTTTCAGTGTTAATCTTTGGAAAGTGAAGCTTTGAAAATTCAGCCATAACCATGGCTGATCATCTGCTCTGGGGGTCAAGAGCAGTAACAACCTGCTCTGAAAGTATATTCTGAAACTGATAGCAGCCCAGATGGTTTTCTAGATCTTACTTCTTGTTCCACAATAAACATCAAGCAAATCCCTTTCTCTATCCAATATCTGGCTCAACTACACAGGAAAGAGCATAACTCCTAATCAGCCGTGGAAAGCACACTGTATAATGACATCACCCTATGTACAGTTCCTGCCCACAAAGAAGAATTTTCATTGCTAAGAGATTAAAACTCAAACAGAATCAAATCTAGAGAGCCAAAATAAAAGTGAGAAGAGGTTCTTATACAATAAAGGTTTCTGTTCAAAAAAGATGTCTTAAAATTTCCATTTTAAATCTAGAATTTTAAATCTCTAATGATACAAAGAATAAAAAACACACTTTAAAGTAAAAATGTTAAATCTTTTTGATTCACAAATTGCTAGCAGCTCCAAAAAAAAACAGCTAAAGAAGCTCTTAGATAGTCTCAACATAGCTCTCTGTTGTTGTTGTTGTTATGTGCCTTTACTCACAGTGACCTTGTGTACAATATGTACAATAGCCCTGAAACCTGCTCTATCCTGAGGCAACTTTACTATCTCTGACACACCTACCCTCATTACTCCAGTCAATGAATCGATCCATCTCATGGAGGGTCTTCTTCTCCTGCACTGTCCCTCCACCTTTCCAAGCATGATATCCTCTCCAAGGACTAGTCCCTCCTTACAATATGCCCAAAGTATGTCAGAGGAAGCCTCAGAATCCTTGCCTCCAAGGAGCAGCCTGGTTTCACCCTCTCCAGGATAAACTTGTTTGTTCTAGCAGTCCATGGTATATTTAGTACTCTTCTCCAGCATCACAGCTCAAAGGCATCAAGTCTCTTTCTATCATCCCTAGTCACTGTTTAGCTCTCTGACACATAGCAAGCAATTGTGAAGACTATGGCCTGGATCAGGCACATGTTAGCCTCCAGATTGACATCATAAATAAAAGAAAAACTTATCCTATATATAGTCTTACACTCTGAAGGAAAAGACTGTATGACTATTATCCAAGAGGCGGGGCTCTATGAGGAGAGGCGTGGCGTTAGGATTGGTGGACGATCTATCAACAATCTGTGTTATGCAGATGACACAACCTTGCT